TAGTTTGTTCTGTTACTAGTCGTTTAGAGTTTAACTCCAGACAGCTCACCACGTCTAATTAATTAAATGTGCCAGGTCCTGAATATTCTTTCTTTTGGACTGCTTCCATCTTGAGCATATTTCTTTGGGTGCCCACATCACTGACTAGCGAATTATGGCAATTCCCATTGGCCAATCATCAGTGGGAACTTCACAAGATGACATGAAATGGGGCAGCAACAAGTCGATGGCGCATATGGATCGTAGTGGTGGGATCTCCTTACTTCCAGAAGAGACACCATGAGGGGTCATATGATGAGTCAAATATGTATGTCAATGTATTCCGAATAATTGCAAAAATGTCTCAAACTGATGGCAAAAAATAAACTGCATTTAAACATCAACACAAGCCCAAAGCTGGTTGACACAGGCCCTAATAGGACTTCATTACCTGGTGTGTTTTGTAACTCCTGATTAAGCTTCTGCTTATTCAGCTTATTTTCCTTTTTCTTGTAGTGTCTGTTATTTTGTCCACTTCCTTTATCCTTTATTTAGGCAGATTCCATATAAAGAAATACCTTAATTTCACTTAGGAGATTCAGGATAGAAACGGTATTCACTACAGGAATAGTGGTACATTCTTCAGAAAATGTATACCACATGTTCTGTATCGGAGTTCATAAATGTTCCTTACACCAGTTAATCTGGCTAAGTGCACAACTTTCACCAGATAAATCAGAAAGAAGATGTGTATGACTGCTTCTGATGATGGGAAGTGAAGTACAGTTCAGCGTACTGTTTCCAGATGGTGTGTAGCAGAGGCAATTGAACTGGGAAACTAGGTATTTTGTGGTATATATGTTTTTCAGCAGTCCTGAATGAAAGAAAAGACAGTGGCCTGATCCACTCTAAATTGCACCTTTATTCTAAATATAATACTCCTTAACTGAACATACATTGGGTAAAGCATGCTACTGGACCCTTGCCTGTCTCTTGGCCTTCTGTGGGAATGGTCAGGTCTGAGTAATGAAGACCTTCCCTGCTCCATGTGATTGGACCGTGCAAGGGACAACAATAATGACAACCACATAATTGCTTAATGATCCAGCCCTCCTACAATCACATCTTCCATTCCATCATGCCATTGACACTCAAATTTTGAAGCCAAGACAGAGTCCAGTAACTGGCAGCACAGAAACACACTTTTCTGGCCACAAATCAGCATATGGACAACTTAACGTTTATCTAAACCACCCGTGATTACTGCATTAGTTAACTTTTTGCAAGTATACAGGAAAATACTTGTTGATCATGACAGAAACTGTGTATCCTTGTACCTATGCACTGAACTGGCACCTCAAACAATATTCTAAGCTTTCCCAGCTATCTTCTGTGTCACAGGAAGTGTGTTACTGGCAGGATAACCAGTTAAAATAAAGGAATAAAGCTTGAAAACGGGAAAATAACGCAGCCACCACATGTAAGGATGGGTAATCTGGGCCCTTATATTGTAAAGTGCTGTGCAAACTGTTGGCGCTATATAAATCCTGTATAATAATAATAAGTAGGGAACAAGCAAACAACGACAAACGATAAAAGAAATTATTATCAATTAAAATGTTTTAAATATTTCAACCAAACCATACTCTAGTGATCAACCTCAGTGACCAGGAATGTGAGGAGAGCAAGTGTGTAGCCCCCCTTTCTGTACCATACTAGGCCACATGCCCATTCAGGGAGTACCTTGCAAGGAGGACAGGAAAACCTCCCCCATTGTTCTGTTGCCCACTTCAGGTTGTGGGCCTTTTGTTCCCTGTTTCACAGTTTTTTCTATTGTTTTATTGTTTTTGGTGGGATAAGGTTCACCAGCTTCTCGCTGACTCAAGTTCAGTTTTGCCTTCTGTCTGGAGTCATTCTCCTCTTCCATTGACCTCCTCTGTCCCACTCTGGAGCATCAGGTTAATCCTCTGTGCTCTGCCTTTTGGTCGTTTTGGCAGGTTCTATCTAGAAGGGGGCTCCAAATCATCCATGCAGATTTGGGCGTTGGTCCTTCAGACAGCTTCTGGGCTTCAGGCAGTCCTTATTCCTTCTAGTGAGGTCTGCTAGTGTTGCATACCACTCAGTTAGACTGCTTTTGGATGTTCTGACTGTATCTGAATTCCTGTGTCCCTCAATAGGTGAGGGGGAAAATTTTGATTTTTTTTTTTTTTGTACTTCCATAAAAGCCATTTCTTGGAGTCTATTGAAGGATACGGGTCCTGTCCCTCTGTGTCTTTGTTCATACAGTACTGCAGTACTACTTAGTACTGCATTTCCACATAAGTGAGGAATGTTTGGTAGAGGAAAGGTTATAATGGCTTTTGGCTTACGATTTTCTTTAAGTCAGTGTCCAATCCTCGTATAGGCAGGAGTATAACCTGACTGTATCTGAATTCCCATTTCTCTCAATGGACTTTAAGAAATGAATTTATGGAGAGTTCAAAATTCTATTTCAATGTCGCCCTTTAAGCCACATGAAAAGAACATCTCCCAGCTGAACAGTGTTTTTTTTTTTTGCATTGGCAATGCCAAGCTCCCAATGCCATATTTTGAACAATAGCTTGTCCATTAGGGTACAGGGTTCGCAGACTTCCTGCTAGTTTGAATTGCATGAATTGAACCTAGCCTGATATACTCACCTTCACTGGTAAGTTGCAGTGTATTACATTTTTGTGTTTTTAGATACGCTTTAAGCCCAACCATTTTTAAGCACAGCCCTCATAAACTAAAGTTTTGCAAAATGTCTGTACTTTGACAAAAACTCCAGGACTGTTGACAACAATGGCGATATGCCTTATCTTACCCTAGGACTCTTATCTAGGCATGTTATTTAGTTTTTCCTTTTACACTTTTAGTTCATGCACAAAGCTGGGTACAGTTTATGAAGATATCAGTAAAAGTATATGAAGTATGCATAAACATGCGTTCATTAGCAGTGTAGACTGAGTTAACAAGTTTGCTACAGGAAAATGGTATAAGTATACTAGCGAAAATATATTGAGAAGTGTCTAAAATTGAGGATGTTGCATAGGATAATATGGGTATTCTAAAAGATATAATGGGTTTGTTTGTTTGTAGTTAGAAATATTGGTCAATATTAATTATTGCAAGAAACTTTGTAGCAACATTCTTTCACCATTCTAGTTTCAGATATACTGACCATGTTAGGATATACTGAATATGTTTAGATATACTGACTCTTATTGGTTCTCCAAACAGATCCACTACACATATGTATACATAACAGGCATTATTTAGGGAGGAGTTATTGTTTAGTTGTTTAAGGGCCGGTGCACACCTAGGCGATTTTATTGCGCGGATTGAGTCACCGACATTGTGCAAAACACAGATTCGCATTGAAGTCAATGGAGGCTGTTCACACCTATGCGGTTTGTCGCGTGGACGAAATCGCCTGTTGCGCAAAAATGTACAGGAGCTTTGTGAAAACCTCTGTCACCTATGTGGGAACCTAGCCTGAATGTTTAATGTTCTACAAGTTGCTTTTCCTTTTATGTTTCAAAAATGTTGTGAAATTATTTGTCTAACATTAGACGTTATTTTGTTATAAGATGTACTGTTATGAGAGCTGTGTGACAGTTTACAGAAAAAAAAAGAGAAAAAGGCCTTTCCGGGAAAACAAAACTACTCGAGCCAAACCGCTAACATAAGTATGCCCACCACCACCCAGCATTGTCAAAGATCTGTGCTGTAGGCGTACCGCTGCCAATAGTCCTCCCTTTGGACCTAAATTCCAGTCTCCCCTTGACATGTGTGTTTTATAATTGTATTGCATTGTATTGCATTTTGTTTTATTTTCAAACCCTGGTATGAAGAATGCGATGCTGGCCATAGTGGTCAAATTGTTTATTTTCTGAGTTATCTCAGAAATTATAGAATAGTTTTGCTATGAGGAGGACTAGTGTTTTTAGCTGTCTGTGTTTTACTTGAAAGTTTTCAGTACATTAAGGCCTGTTTTTTTTTTTTTTAAATGTATCTCTTAAACAATGGGAAGCATGGTCAGGGATGTGGAAAGAATGTGTCTTTAGGCTATACATTTTGAGACTAAGGGCCCATTCACACCAGTTTTTGTGTGTTGTGTGGCCTCTTCCTATTCATTTCCTATGGGCCCTTAATGATCTTCCATTTGATCCCTGTTTCCAAAAACATCCCAGACCCATTTGATCCCTGATTCCAAAAACATCACTGACCCATTTGATTCCCATCTCCAAAAATGTCCATGACCCATTTGATCCCTGACCCCAGCTGATGTTTGTTCAGACAAATGTGTTTAGGTGCATTAAAGAGTCCTGGGTGACTGTCTTGGGAGAAATGAATGGGGTGACCCCTAAAATTCATGTGCAGAATGTGTTACCATGCAGATGTGTGGAGTCAGTCTTAAAGGAATTACTTTATATCATTGGCATTTTAAACTCATGTGTCCTCAGAGGTATTCAAATTGCTTTTGCTAACATAGTACTTATCCGCTGGTTCGTAGGTGCTGTGGATCTACTCTTGCTTTGGTTCTGGTAAATGCTACAAATGGTGTTCATTTAAATGGCTTGTCTTAGAGCTTAGGGAACTATGAGCATTGGGCTATGATCCGTGTTAATCCTATAATAATTCATCTTAGGGCGGCACATCTGCTCTTTCTGTGGATGCCATCCACAAGGCCCATTGTGAGGAAGTTAAAGCCACTCAACTCTGTGGACTGCATTGACAATTGTAACTTATTTATCTTATAGTAAATGGGTTCTTGCACTGCTGTGTTTTTTTTCCCGTCTTGTCATAGAACAATGATTTTGCTGCGGTTCCACAAAGCAAACTTGCTGAAAATGTTTAATTGATTTGATTTATTAAGAGATTCCCGAGAACTTATTAATCTTCTAGTAGCTCTGCAAAGTCAACTAAACAGTAATGTCTGTGTTCTGCAGGTCGCTCCGTAATAAAGCAAGTTTCATTTTTTTTTTCTTCTTTTTGTCTAGGAGAGAATGTGGACTGTAAATTGGGATCGTCTAGGAAACCGACAGAAAGGGAACACTGTGGACATTATGAGATAATAGTCCCTTATCTTTTGAGTGGAGAACAGTGGAAGGCAATAGGTAGCATCTTTCCAAAGGTTAGTTCACTTTTTCATGCTCCTATGAGATGCTTTTAACTGCACAATACGGAATGAAAAGAAAACATTGTGGATGATGGAAAATAAACTGTATTCGTGGTAACAATGTAACGGATGGAAACCATTCAGACTATTTTCTAAACCTGATTCCTAACATATAATTCAATGGGAGATGATTCTGAAGCTGTTGCAAATGATGTCTGCAGTTCTCTATTGTTGCTGTTTCACTGTCTGTCTAATTTAGGCTCATTACCCCACAATACCACATGTATGCAACAAGATGGCTTTATTTTTTTTTTATTTTTTTTGCATAACCATATATCTTCTACAGATATTTTCTGAAATGTTTCTTGGGTTTATGTTATGTCAGAGGGGCCATTTTAGCACTTTCTCTGACCTTTTTTTTTTCTTTTTAAATCAGTAGTTGAATCTTTCCAGCGCCACTTTAATATCATGATCTCTGTATTTAGGTATGTCTGCTCATTTTGTTTTTGAGACAGGACAGTAAAGCTTACCTTTCAAAACACATAGCACAGGGTTTTCAGAGACTAAAAGTGGACCTAGCTTGTGTGTGTAATATATATATATATATATATATATCTTGGCCCCAAAGCAAAAATTTGTATGGGGCCCTGTGATTTCTAGTTGCGCCCCTTGCAGAGTCCACCTGAGATCTCACACAGCCCTCCTGAGAGTGACCCTGCAGAGCCCACCATAGACTCTCTGGTCACATCGCTGCAAACACCTTACCTTTCAAAAATTGTTTTATGATATGAAAAAATATTGACGCCTCATTTGAAACCCCATTCTCTCTAATATTGTTTACTTACTGTGTACCAGAACCTGGCTTTTGTGCAGTGCAGGATCACCTGGAAAACTCCAACAAGCATTCAGCATGACCTCCCCTGCCCCCCATCTTATTCTGTGTTGAGACAGCTATAGTCTCCTCTGGCTCTAAACGGGGTTGCTTGACCCTTGCATAGGTATCTAGCAAACCCACACATATGAGTACATGTATAATACAGTTCACTGGTTTAAGACCTCTACAACTTCTTGAAACTTACCACTGCACTCGGAAGGTTCTCTTGCATGGCTTTTTGTCCCCTTTTTTCCTGTTTTCTTCTTGTAGTGTCTGGAGTATATCTATATTCTCTCAGAAGAAGTTTCTCTTCAAGTGTCTGTTACTCATCATTTATATAAGGCTGTAAATATTTACAACTAAAGCTCAGTCAAACCCCACATCCTGTCATTCAGTTGTCAAGGGCCAGAGCCTCTGAGGTTCTAACATTTGACAGATGAATGGCTGGGCTGAAGTTTAACATCATGAAGGGGCAGGAAATAATCTTAACCTGGAAAGAATGTGAGGCCCTGTATACACCCTGAGCCTAGAATCCAGGGTCCTCTCTAGACACAAACCAACTGATGTTAAGGTACTATAAGGCAACTGCGCTTTACCAGTAGAGTTAGTGTACATACTTATCTGACTTAACAGGTTTACTTTAAATAAGTACAATCGGCCATTCAAATATATACATTGCGTATACATTAGAAGAATGGCAGGCTGCCAAGTCCAAGTGGAAAGGGAAATTGAAAAACAATTTACTGATAGAAAGTATTTTTGCTGTACATTTCGAAGATGTATTGCTCCACAGTGCATGCAGCTACAGAGGTCAGCTAGGTAGTGTTTTGATGGTTATTTACTGTTTGTCAAGAGTGTTCATAGCCTGGCCACAATTTAACATTATTAGATTGTCTGCTTGCATTTCTTGGTTTTAAATGTGAGCTTCAGAAGATATTAAAATTTAAGGACTTTTCCTTTCAGATAGAGAGAATGGTTAAAGAAAGAATGAATCTCCCGCGCGGAGTCACAGATAGGGAAAAAGACCCCAAAAAACTGGCACATCCTAGCTCGGTCTATTTAAAACTAAGACAAAAGGTTTTGGCTGTAGTCCGACTTTAACAAGTATCATAGGCTGTTAGCTGGATCATCATATTACAGGTCGGACATCCTGAAAACATGACTTGTACAAAAATGCTGGAGTTGGCAAACATTGTGCTAGGTTATTAAACTGATCAGGAGTTTGGGTTCAGGAGTTGGCCAGTAAAAAAAAAAAAAATAGCTGAAAACAAAATGCTAATAAGCTTTGGTCAGCTAGCAGGACTATGCAGTATACTGTTGGTTTCTGTATGTCTTGTTTTTGCATTGCCTTCTCTCTGACTGTTCAGTAAGTTATTATGCAAATAGGGTTTGGGGAAGGATCTGCTGGATGACAGCCGTGAAGACAGCATACGGTGCAGAGCTGCAAATGTATTTAACATTACAAAGTTCCTGGAAATTACATCTTGTATATGCAGTCTAATTAACGCCACTCATCACATTGTGAGACATTAAAGGTCATTTACAATGTGTAAAACACAGATCAAATGCTACCTTTGGTGACGTGATTGTGTTGGCTGCACTCCTTCCTCTGTGGTTATGACATGACAGCTTTGCAAATCCTTGAAAGAGCAGGAAGGATAACAAGGTGATTGTGGAAGGACATAGGCTTTATTGTGAGCCTGGTACATTATCATCTTTAAAGGGGAACCCCAGGCACCACACAAAGTTTCAAAACCTAATTATTACTTTTTTGCAGATGCACCTTTTTATCCTATAAAGCAGGGGCGGGGAACCTCCGGCCCTACAGCTGTGGTGAAACTACAAATCCCATGATGCATCTGTCTTTGAGAGTCCTGCCTGTGGCTGTGAGAATATTGCAATTCCTCATGGGATGTGTAGTTTCACCACAGCTGGAGGACCGGAGGTTCCCCGCACCTGCTTTAAAGTGACACTAAACTCAGGAATTAAATATTAAAATGCATTCAAGTACCTTAACTATTACCAAAAATGTATCTTATTTGTGTATCGCTCGGCTGTAGACCATCAAATCATCTCTGAATTGGTGCTGACACTGCCCTTCCTTCTGGAGGGGGGCTACTTTTGTTCCCCATGGTCCCTGTGTGTATTGCAAAGTTGCCATCCCTCCAAGCTCGCTCCCGTCACAAACTATAATCTCAATACAAATTAGCTAACTAAACGTGAGATTGTAGTCCATCACGCGAGCGAGCTTGGAGGCTACTTACTCCTACCTATTCTATATAGATGCATTTCCTGTATAATCTTTATTTTATGAATAAGAATTTAATACAATGTGCGTGGAAAATGCAAACAGGAGCCTATAGTTCAAGCCCATTGGCTGAGAAAAGTAAATATGATTTCTTTTTTTCCCCTACATAATTATTACAAAAAACAAAATCCAACAGAGAAATGAAGGTTTTAAATATAAAATGTTGATATGTAATGTTTCATCTTTGCCTGTCTAAAATAAATGTTTAGAAAAAAATCCGTTAAAACTATTTTTTTTAGTCCGAAAAATAAAATATTGACGGAAAAAAACGATATTATACATTTCCTTGAAAGGTGCTAACGCCTGGAATGTATTCCATCCTGTAGGGAAATGCCGACTTTTATTAACAGTAGTGAAAGCCCATACATACAAAGTGTTTGTTGTAAGCAGTTTGTTCTGTAGTTGTTCATTGAATTCCCAGCACTAAAATAATCAACGGGATTATTTACCTTGTAATCTGAAACAGTATTTTTTTATTCCCTCTATGTCTAGTTATTTGTTTTCCTACAAATCATGGGGCGCATGGCAACATTTTGATGGGGCCCCCAAATGTCACCCGTCTAGGTGTCTGTAACAGCTGTTTGATGGTAGCCAGTGGGTCATTGTACAAATAATGGCTGTTTTGCCCTGGTGGCTAGTGTTTTTGTGAATTATAAAAAAATATTAATCATTTACTGTACAGTGAAGAAAACTACTGACTCTATTGTTTCCTCTCTGTAGAAAGACAGTGGAAGGCTTTGAGCGACTAGGTTTTTTTGGATGCAGACCAATGCTTCTTTTCTTATAAGATTATGGCAATGACGTCCTACAAAAGTGATTGCTTTAGTGAGAAATGCAAGCATTTTAGACACGCAATGAGAGAGGCAAAAGCTAGAGTAGCTTTGAAAGGAGAACTATGAGGTGAGTGCTTTTCACTCATCCTCATAGTTCTAGCCGACCTGTGACGAGGAGACTGTCACAGGTCAACTCAGTAGATCGGGAAGTGAGCAAACACATACCGGCGTTCGCTCACTACTCGATCCTGTCACGGCTGAGAGCCGTGACAGGGGAGGGACTGGATTCTCCCCTCCCTGCTCCGATCCTCCAGCGCTGACTGGCGGAACGGATGGGGGAGGGGGCGGGTACAGCCAGCTATGCCTCTAGATAGGCAGAGCCAGCTGTCACTCACGCAGCTGGGCGGATCCAGACATAATTGTAGGGATCCGTTTCAGCTGTAGCTCGCGGTATACTGAGATTAGGGTGATGGGAGGACGCTAGTTTGTGTCCTCCCGTTACCCTTAGGATAACTGTGGGGAAAAGCCCTAACCCCATAGTTCTACTTTAATGCTATGCAATTGTCTAGGCCTTGTGTGTGCAGCATTGGACGACTCTTAGAAAATACTTTATGGATATGGCACCATTGACACAGATATGTTCATATTATGAGACTCTGAGTCTGAATCCTTCATTGTTGGATGAAAAATCTAGTTATTTTAGAAATGTATGTAATTTCAGGTGACACTGCTGACTATAAAGGATCTTGCATACCACTGTGTTCTTAATAAGAACTAGAGTTGCTTCCCCCCAGCGCCACCACTTACATTCAGGCTTTTAGGACATGTTCAATGCTGATATACATTTGAAAGCATTTCTTTAGTTCTGTTTGGTAAGTGGAAAAAGAAAAAAGAAAAATACCTTCTGATCATGCCAGAAATTCAGAACTTTCCTGTGTCCTCTGCACACTTTCTGTGTTAGCAGCAAAGAGGTTTTTAGCCCTCCTAGTTCTTTTCTGGGACTTTGGAATTATTAGATTTTATGTTGAAGCGATCTGAGACTTTGAGGTGGTTGAGTAGT